GTCTTCGCAAACACGCAAATTCCATTAACGTGCAATGTATAGACAGGTGCGCTTCTACAAACATTATATCTGTTGATATTTAACAATTTGCCATTTACAAGGTTTACTACTATTGTGGAACAAAAACTTTATTCAAAATTTTATTAAAACAGCTTCTGCGTACTTGGATGACAAAAATATTTTTTTAAATAGTTTTTTCTATTTATGCTATTGTAAATGATAAATGTGGACAATTGTCCGTTTATAAAGAACAAACCTCGAGTTACTCATTCATTATTTTTAGGGGGAATCTGCTTTACGAATTAGTACTAAGAAGTGTTTTATCAATTTTACGATTTCATCCTACGAAAAAAAGATACACGCACCAAAATATCTTGGGATCAAGGTATTTTAAAAAAATATTTGATGGCCCCATTAAAGTTAAATAAAAATACCTGTACAAATTTATTAAATTATTCCAAAAAACCGTTGTGTGTTAAAAAAAATTAAACACCTGATTTTTAGTAATTGACAAAAACGTGCTTGATCCCTAGACACTTTTAATGTGTATAGTTTTGAATTTGGATCGTTGGGAACCATTCAGTACATTTATGTACTCGATGTTGGGAACACACTTGTAGAGTTAGATAATATACTCTCAGAAACAAGCAAAAAGTACTGGCAAAATTAGTCTTTTTTTATGATCGTGATTTGTGAGCCTGTGGATAAGAGACACGCCTGTCCATAGCAGTTGCAGTGCCACTCAGAGTTTTAAACCATAAAGATTCAGAGGGTGCATTGTCTCTGCGCCGATCACCCTGAGACATAAGTTGAAAGGTCTCATGTGCATGTAATTTCACCAGCATCCTTACCCTTCAAAACGGGAACGCAGTAATGTTCACATTACTGCTTGGCGGCAAAAATAGCTAAGGTGGCAGTACTTCCCTGGACGATGTCTTTCACAAAGAGCTCTACTGCAACTAAATTTGTTTATTCTAGTCACACTTATCAATATAGTATAACAGATTTCAAATTAGAGAAGTCGTACTATTTTCGTTTCTATATGAAATAATAATGTGATAAAACGTCAAAAGTGCTTGTATCACATGAAAGTCGTAAAAAAAATACAAACTACATAAAAGTAATTACGTATAGTTATGTGAAACTTTATAATTCTCTTTAAGCTTAAATAATCTCAGTATAGAGTACTAAAAAAACTGACCTAAAAAGTACGTGGAATTACGCCTATTTGCTAAGTTTTATTGTAATATCAGTCAATGGAAATATCCCCTAGTTCGTCACTATACAGGACTTGACACTGGAGATAATAAAAATCAGTTCTCACTACTCAAAGTATATTGACAGAAAAACGCCTTGAATTGGAGAAATAGCAAATCAACCATTAAAGTAATTGCTCCTAAATTTAAGTTAGGCGCTATTTATAAAAATGAATCTTCATGCGTGAACAGCCACCCTTCGAGGTGGATAATTTTCTTCAAAATGAAATGGGTCCACTATGGAAGTACCCCCTTTCCAACAAAAAAAGAATCATGAAAATCGGTTCACAAATACCGAAGTTACATACATACAAAAAAAAAGAAAAAAAAAGATTATACAGTCGAATTGGGAACCTCCTCCTTTTTTGAAGTCGGTTAAAATAAGTTGGTTAATTTCATTTTCCCCTGAAAAGTAAGTAGTTTTGCAGATGTGGCCTTATTGCATCAAGCGAGGGTGCGAAATATGAAGCCATTTCGGTGTTAACGTACAAGTGTTTGTTCTTATTGAGCCAAGGGTAAGCGTGTTTTACGAGTAATAAGTCGACAAGTTTCATTATGGGCCGCGGTATGGACCGATATGAAAAATGTTTCGCCTGCAAGACCCGCCCCTTCGCTTTCGTCCACGAGACACTTGGAAATTAGCTCAGTTTCAAACTTGGGCTTGTTTGTTTTGGAACACAAATTACATTGTCGACTTTAAATACCTAAAAAGGAACGAACGAAATACTGCGGTCTTGAGAGTTCTTCAACTTGTAAATAGTGTACCGATATTTTTGTGTTAACAGATGTGCTATTTCAAATGATGGTACTGGAGAATTTTGTAGTAGATGTAGTGATTACTTATTAGTATTGTCTATAAAATGATGGTGTAAAAGAAACCGTTAATCAATGTGCTCTGTAAAGTCTAAACGCACTGTTGCAGCAGTGACGTCATATTGGACAAATACCTGATTAAG